TGGCAACAGGCAACAGATGCCTGTTTTTGTAAATAAAATTTGGTATAACTATTCTTCTCTCAGTCTCCACAGCAGGGAGTTGGTTCTAAGTCACAGGGTCCTGCCCTGTTCATATTCAGCCCAGCTGCTGGATTAAAAACCCGAAGAGTATCCTCACACACACTTCCGCCCCCCTCCTCTCTAGAGCCCCATCCCACAAATTCCACCCATGCCAGCAGCCTAGGGCTCTGATTTTTTCCCTCTTCAGGTCAGTGAGGCCACCACTCTGCTGGCTCCACTTTGGTGCTACCTGGCAGGAAAGTGCCCCAGGAGGAAAGCCATGGCAATGGTGGGCTCACTTCATGTGCTTCCTTCCTCTCAAATAATGCTGTGCTGCACTGCCCGTTGCTAAATGCCTGCAAACTCTTGTTCACATATTTTGTCTGGTTTTAAAGTTGCTTTCAGCAGGAAGATAAATTTTGTCATGGTCGGAAGCAGAAGTCCTCATGGGCTGTTTTTCTTTTTCCCTTCAATTATTTTATCTAGCTCAGGGAATGTCCATTGTGTGCTTGTAAGTTGTTCTTTTTTAATAGGCTTTACTTTTTAGAACAGCTTTAGGTTCACAGTAAAATTGAGCAGAAGGTACAGAGATTTCCCATATACTCCTGACATCACACATGCACAGCCTCCCCCATTGTCACATTATCAACATCCCCCACAAGATTGTACGTTTGTCACCATTGATAAACCTACACTGATGCATCATCATTGCCTAAAGTCCATAGTTTACATTAGGGTTCACTCTTGGTGTTGTATATTCTATGGGTTTGGACTAATAGGTATCCATTATTATGGTGTCCTACAGAGTAATTTCACTGCCCTAAAAATCCTCTGTGCTCCACAGAGTCATCCCTTCCTCTTCCCTACCCCCTGGCAACCTACCAATTCTTTTTACGACCTTCACAGTTTTTCCTTTTCTAGAATGTCATATAGTTGGACTCATATAGTGTATAGCCTTTTAAGATTGTCTTCTTTCACTTAGTAATATGCATTAAAGTTTCCTCTATGTCTTTTCATGGCTTGAGAACTCATTTCTTTTTAGCATTGAGTAACACCCCATTGTCTGAATGTACCACAGTTTATTTATCCACTCATTTACTGAGAGACATCTAAGATTGCTTCCAAATTTTGACAATTATTAATAAAGCTGCTAGAAACATCCGTGTGCAGGTTTTTTTGTGGACTCAGCCTTTCAACTCCTTTGGGTAAATACCAAGAAGCATGATGGCGGGATGGTACATTAAGAGTATGTTTAGTTTTGTAAGAAACTGCCAAAACTGTCTTCCAAAGTGTCTGTACCATTTTGCTTTCCCATCCGCAATGTACGAGGGATTCTGTTGCACCACATCCTCACCAGCATTAGGTGTTCTGAATTTTGGTCATTCTAAAGGTGTGCAGTGGCATCTTATTGTTGTTTTAATTTGCATTTCCCTGATGACATGATGTGGAACATCTTTTCATATACTTATTTGCCATCTGTATATCTTCTTTGGTGAGGTGTCTGTTCAGGACTTTGGCCCATTTTTTTCAATCAGGGTTCTTATTGTTGAGTTTTAAGAGTTCTTTGTATATTTTGGATAACAGCCCTTTATCATATAAATATTTTCTCCCAGTCTGTGGCTTGTCTTTCCATTCTCATGACAGTGTCTCTTAAGAGCAGAAATTTTTTTTTCTGTTAAATCAGAATTTATTTTTTTTAAAGCATATGGTAACAAGAAAATAACACAAAAACAAACACCCTACTCCTTTTTTTTGTTTGTTTTCTTTTACTTTTTTTTTTACTGAAGTATAGTTTATTTACAATGTTGTGCCAATCTCTGGAAATTTTTTTATTTTAATGAGGTCCAGATTCTCAATTCTTTTCTTCATGGACCATGCCTTTGGTGTTGCATCTAAAAAGTTGTCACCAAACCCAAGGTCATCTAGATTTTCTCCTATATTATCTTCAAGGAGTTTTATAGTTTTGTGTTTTACTTTTAGGTCTGTGATCCATTTTGAGTTAATTTTTGTGAGGGACATAAGATGTGTGTTTAGATTTTTTTTTTGCATGTGGAATGTCCAGTTGTTCTAGCACCATTTGTTGAAAAGACTATCTTTGCTCCATTGTATTGCCTTTGCCCCTTTGTCAAAGATCAGTTGGTCTATTTCTGGACTCTCTATTCTGTTCCACTGATCTATCTGTCTATCCTTTCACCAATACCACACTGTCTTGATTAATGTAACTTTATAGTAAGTCTTGAAGTCAGGTAGTATGTCCTCCAACTTTGCTCCTTTCAGTCAATATTGTGTTAGCTATTCTGAGTCTTTTGTCTCTTCATATAAACTTAGATTCAGTTTGTTGTCATCCACCAATTAAGTTGCTGGGCATTTTATTGGGATTGCCTTGAATCTATAGATCAAGCTGGGAAGAACTAACATACTGACAATATTGAATCTTCCTATCCATGAACATGGAATATCTCTCCATTTATTTAGCTCTTCATTGATTTATTTCATCAGAGTTTTATAGTTTTTCCTCATGTAATCTTGTACATATTTTTTTTCTTTTTACTTATACCGAAGTACTTCATTTTTTTGGGTGCTAATGTAAATGGTATTGTGCTTCTAATTTCAATTTCCTCTTGGTCATTGCTGGTATTTAGCAAAGTGGTTGACTTTTGTATATTAGCTTTGTATCTTGTAATCCTGCTGTAATCACTTATTAGTACGAGGAGGTTTTATTTTTGGTCTATTCTTTCAGATTTTCTACATAGATAACATGTCTTCTACAAACAAAGACAGTTTTGTTTCTTCCATCCCAATCTGGATACCTTTTGTTTCCTTTTCTTTTCTAACTGTTATTAGCTAGGACTTCCAATATGATGCTGAAAAGCAGTGGTAACAGGGAACATCCTTGCCTTGTTCCTTCATTTGGCTTTTCTGATTATTACACACATCTTGTTTTAGCAACAGATTCACCTTCCGATACTTAAATTGTTCGTTGGTATTGATGTATGATAAGTGCCAGCGAATGGTACTGATGACATGGGCTGTAGGGAGAGATGAACTTTTGTAGGAGTTAAGGGTTAAGGTAAAACTCAGCCCAGTCTCTATCTGGACATTTTCTTTTTCTGGACAGGAAGAAAAGGGAGCGGAACTAGTACCTATTCTTTTTTTTCTTTCTCTTTTTAAATTAATTTTATTGAAGTACAGTTGATTGACAGTGTTGTGATCATTGCTGCTGTACAGCAAAGTGGTTCAGTTATACATACATATATACATTCTTTTTCATGTTCTTTTCCGTATGGTTTATCACAGGATATTGAATATAGTTCCCTGTGTCATACAGTAGGACATTGTTGTTTATCCATTCTATATATGATAGTTTGCAACTGACTAGCATCTATTCTATGCCTATTATGTGCCAGGTGCTCTGCAAGTTACCTTAATATGTTATTTCATGTAATATTTAAAAGAAATCAGTAAAATAATTATTATACCCATTTTACAAAAAAGGAAGCCAAGTCTTAGATACGTAAAAACAATAAAGCTGTATAGCTAGTAAGCTGGTAGAACTACAATTTAGAAACCTATCCTTCTCCTCTTTCCACCATGCTGTGTTTCTTGCCTTATGATTATTATAATTCCTGGAATTTACATTATTTTACATGTTCCTCTACAACTGCTGGCCCAGTGAGCTATTCAAACTGCTTTTGTGTAGTCCCTTCTTGGTTAGAGGTGGGACAAGCTGTCCAGGTTCACCTCACCTTCTTTTTTTTTTTGCGATACACGGGACTCTCACTGTTGTGGCCTCTCCCATTGCGGAGCACAGGCTCCGGACACGCAGGTTCAGCAGCCATGGCTCATGGGCCCAGCCGCTACGCGGCATGTGGGATCTTCCCGGACAGGGGCACAAACCCGTGGCCCCTGCGTCAGCAGGCGGACTCTCAACCACTGCGCCACTAGGGAAGCCCCTCACCTCACCTTCTTAAGGGTGTCAGGAGGGTCCCGCATCTTGGTTGGGGGTGGTCTCCAGGATGACAAGATGCTGGGCGGACTGTGAGGGCTCAGAGAAGCTCCATTCCGCCCTGAGTGATTAACAGACGATCGGCAGATGGTCCTCTGCCAGCAGCGAGTGCAGCAACCTGCCCGGACCCTGTGCCCGTTTGCTGGGTGGCAAGGCCAGATGTGGGAGCCCTGGCTGCCTCCCTTTTTTCTGTTTCCTGTGGTCCTTCCTGTCCGCTTCCTTTATCCAGCCTGTGACTTTTTCCTGAAAAATCTCATCTCTTGAAGCAGGAGAATTTGTCGCGAGATATACAATGGAATCATTGCTCTGATGAGGCCAGCACCTTTTCCTCCCATAATAGTTGGGTGTTCAACTATTCAAGTGTCTTTAGTGGGAAGCCAGTGACTATTGTGGGGGGCTAGGGAGGGTCAGGTCTTCGTGGTGTGAGAAGGAATTTGGTAAACTTAGAGGTGGGTAGGTGGGTGAGAAACACACATTTCCTACTCACCAGACATTGAGTGAAGCACTTTACAAATATTTCTTCAAAAATAAACAACCTTACAGAATCATTAATTACAGAAAGTCGGACAATCTTTATTTCCTTCAAAGTATTTCTCACAGACACATCTCATCCCTCAATTAAATCAATGTGGTTCGTCCCTCCCTTTGCTCATGTCCCTTGTGCCCCCTCATTCTATACTTGCTCAGCAGAAGGCATATTCAGAATAAAACCTCATTCGTTTCTATTCATTTAGTTTGAAAGACACTGTAGTTTGGAGATGAACTTGGCTGAAGTTAAATTTTGAACCATCTCTGATATGAAGGTTTCTAAAGAAACTTCAACAGCCTTAGTTTCTCTCCAGGAAACAGTGGGGTACATACAAACCCCTTAAATCGAGCGAAGGAACGTGTGATTCGATCATATGCCCATGTTTGGAAGCTCCTGGACTCCTAAGGTGCCTTTTTGTCTTGGCAGATGTTTGTCTTGAAGACCCACCGAGTCTCAGAAACGCCATGTTCAAGGTCCTCAGGTATGAGGTGGGCACCATGATAAACTGTGACTGCAAGAAAGGCTTCCGCAGAAGGTCGCCCTTCATGCGCTGCACAGGAAACTCCAGCCACTCTGCCTGGGAAAACAGATGCCACTGCGACAGCACCTGTAAGTGTTTCCATTTGTAACCCCGGAGGGAAGGAGAAAAACTGTAGCAAAGAGGGAGACAGGGCTTCAAATACTATTCGCACGGCCCTACAGACAAAAACTGGCCGCGCCATCTACGTGGAAACTAATGTTGGTGGTTCCCAGAAGAGTTGTTCACTGAACAGATACTGGATGAGTGTCTCCTAGTTCCAAGGCCTGTTCCAGATACTTGGGGATATGACAGACCCAGCCCTCAAGGAACCTATACTTCGGGGGGAGGGAGGGAGGACAGACATTACACTAATAATTACTAAACAACTAAAAATAATTCTAGTTCACAATGATGTGAATGTAGCTCATGCCACTGAACTGTACACTTAAAAATGGTTACTATGGTACATTTTATGTTATGCATATTTTATCACAGTTTTTTAATTGAAGTATAGTTGATTTACAATGTTGTGTTAGTTTCAGGTGTACAGCAAAGTGATTCAGTTTTGTGTATACACACACACTTTTTCAGATGCTTTTCCATTATAGATTATTACAAGATATTGAATATAGTTCCCTGTGCTTTACAGTAAATTCTTGTTATTCACCTATTTTATATGTAGTAGTGTGTATCTGTTAATCCCATACTCCTAATATATCCCTCCCACACTTTTTCCCTTTGGTAACCATAAGTTTGTTTTCTATGTCTGTGAGTCTGTTTCTGTCTTGTAAATAAGTTTATTAGCACTATTGATTAGATTCCATACATAAAAGATATCATATGATATCTGTCTTTCTCTGACTGACTTATTTCACTTAGTATGATAATCTGTAGATCCATCCATGTTGCTGCAAATGGCATTATTTCATTCTTTTTTATGAATGAGTAGTATTCCACTATACACACACACACACACACACACACACACACACACACACATACTACATCTTCTTTATCCATTCATCTGTCAGTGACATGTTGCTTCCATGTCTTGGCTATTGTAAATAGTGCTGTAAATGAACACTGGGGTGCATGTATCTTTTCGAATTAGAGTTTTCGTCTTTTCTGGTTATACGCCCAGGAGTGGGATTGCTGCATCATATGGTAGCTCTATTTTTAGTTTTTTAAGGACATCCGTACTGTTCTCCATAGTGGCTGCACCATTGTCCTTGCTTTAGGAGGGCCTCTCTCTAACTTTTAAATGAACTGCCTTGGGAAACAGAGGAGTGGGCGGGCTGTTGAATTAATAGCTCCTCTCGCTACCACACTCACCCCCACGTACACTGTTGATGGGGTTGATGGCCAGAATGGCGTCCCTTTTGGAGAGACACACAGACACAAACAATTCCACCAGAAAAATCTCAGCTCCTTCAGAAACTCGTTGTAGGCCATTGACATCATGTACAGGAAACCTGACTGACAGGCCAGTGCTGCACTGGCCAGGAACAGGCCCCCTGAGAGCCCCCCAAGGGCAGGGTGTGTGGGGATCATCTTTATAACCCCAGTATCCCCCGATATTGCCTGGCACATCACAGACCCTAGAAAGACTCTCTTTTTGAGCAAATGAATACATGAAGAGCGTGTTCTCTTTTAAACTTTTGTGAAGCTATCTTCTTCATTCCATCCATACTCTCTAGCCTCCCCTAAGACTCCAGGAAAACAAGTTACTCCTGGACTCAAAGATGAAGAAAAGACCACAGAAATGCAGAGCCAAATGCAGCCCACAGGCCAAGCTAACCTTCCAGGTAAGAGGGGACCCATTCTCTTGCAGGTACAGGATGTGTGCCCCAGAGGAGGAGGATCTGTCCTGCTGTCCTCTTTCCTAAGGATGTCATGTGGACGAGAACTATTGTGCAGTGTTTGCAGGCTGTTTGCTCAGCATTTCAAGCCACTCTTACAGCACCCAACCTGGGCTCTGGGTTGCCTCCGGGTTTGGGAACTGGCCAAAAAGAACTCAATTCAATTCACTTCATTTCAATTCAATTCAAAAAGCATGTTTGGGGACAAACTGTGCCAGGCACTGCGGCCAGACAATACAAACCTGAGTAGACGGTCATCCCTGACCTCAAAGAGATGCTGTGTTTTCCCCTTAAGTACAAGGCAGTGAACTCCAAGCAAAGCAATTTACTTCCAGACATTCCTTACAGGACAGGGTTGTGAAGTGGGCGGTGCCACACTGGTGCCTCTGGAAGCTGTGGACAAACACCTCCTAGCTAATAGGATGTGGCCTAGCGAGTTGCTGCCCCAACTTCCCAAAATTAATAATGTTGGGGCTTCCCTGGTGGCACAACGGTTGAGAGTCCACCTGCCGATGCAGGGGACACGGGTTCGTGCCCCGGTCCGGGAAGATCCCACATGCTGCGGAGCGGCTGGGCCCGTGAGCCATGGCCGCTGAGCCTGCGCGTCCGGAGCCTGTGCTCCGCAGCGGGAGAGGCCACAGCAGTGAGAGGCCCCGCGTACCGCAAAAAAAAGATGTTGAAGTCAAGCCATAACATCAGGAAGAAAGAAAGTCCATTAGGAAAACCTGAGCCTTGTGGGGGACCAGCTGACCTTACAAGACCCCATGGTCCTATGCTAATTTTATAACCTTACGAAGAACTTTACGACATTGTATATAATCTCATTTGAACCTCAGAAGCCAGTGAATCAGGGAGCAGGAAATATTACTTCAATTCACTGAATAAACTGAGACACAGAGACATTTAAAGACTTGGCTAAACTCACATAATAGGACTGAAATAAGGCCTTGGGTCTCCTGAATTAGAACAGGGATCTTGCTACTGATTATTTAAACTAGTCTGAATTTATTTTCAGCTTCTATTAATTAAAAAAACTAAAACCCAATGACTAATCCAAGGACTACTCTGCAACATGCTGTTTCCAGCCCTTTTCACTCTGACTTTGTGCTGGAACAAGGTTTCCGAACACATTTAATTATTTGTTTCTCTCTGTTTCTCCCGCCTCACCTTCCACAATTATTGAAAGTTTTCTCAAGAGGTCAAAGTTTGCTGTCCTTACTCAAGAGATAACCAGCTGGCTCTGGCTAAGGGATACTTCACAGATTGTCTTAATGTGGAGGTTTTCACTTGAAAGAAGCAAACCCAATTCAAATGGGTTCAGACGGTTATGAATTTTACTGACTGTAAAGGCAGTTTGATTCTGAGCCTGAAACACACGTTCAGTCATGATTTGCAAGGTGCTGCACTGAGCAGACCACCCTGGACGGGACCACTCGGCCTCCTGCTGCAGAGGGTTACAGAGGGCACGGGGGAAGGTTATATGGGTCCTTGGGGTTGTGGAAGGTCAGAGCATATATGCAGTTTCACACTTCTGGGCTTAGAGGGACCTGTGGTCCATATGTCCAGATTTGGCGGGGGCAGGGGTTGGATTCTGGGATTAAATCAGAGCAGGACATGATCTCTGAGGTTAAAGGTCAGCCAGGCTTGGGTTTTAGTTGGGTGAGTGGAAAGTTACTGGGCATGGGAGTTTTCAGGGCCCTTAAAAGGGCCCACCTGGGTCAAGCTTCAGGCATGGCTTGATCAGGGATCAGGCTCCATTTCTCCAAGATCATCTCAGTGTTCCCCTCCTCCTGGCTTTGGATTTGTCCCCAGTCCTTCCGCCGTGGCCCCAAGATGACCACCAGCTGCAACTCACTTAGCAGTGGGGATCCAGACGGTCTCCACACTTCATTGGCCCAGATTGGCTTGAGCCTGCCTTTAGCCCTAAACTGAGACCACCGTTCACACGCCTGTCTACTTATCAAATCTCTCACCATCAGCAGAAGTAATTGCTTGTCTCTCTGCATTCCGAGAGCAAGCGTCTGTCTCTTGGCTGTCATCCTCACCACGCTCTGCCTGTATGTGCTTCCTTTCCAGATCCACTGTCTGCTCTTTGCAGGGGGACTGGGTCTTTATGCCTTTTCACAACATGTCTAGCAAAGGTCCTAACACATAGATGTTATCAATGCTTACTGGAAGGAAGGAAGGAAGGAAGGGAGGGAGGGAGGAAGGGGACAAAGAAAAGAGTAAGAACCATGGTCCAGTCTCTAGGAAGAGGAAACCTGGACTCACAATGTCTCCTCAGCTTTGCCTTTGGAATTTCCTTTCCCTCTTCCAGGTCACTGCAAGGAGCCTCCACCATGGGAACATGAACGTGAACCTTTGAAGAGAATTTACCATTTCATGGCGGGGCAGACAGTTTACTACCAGTGCACTCAGGGATTCAGGGCCCTACAGGGAGGCCCTACCAAGAGCACCTGCAAGATGATCTATGGGAACATGAGGTGGACCCAGCCCAAGCTTGGGTGCATAAGTGACAGGGAGAACAGTCAGTTTCCAGGTATGGAGATGCCCCCGCCAGGTCCACCACCTTGCTGCTTCTGTCAGGCGGACCAGCCTGGAATCCCTGACCCACCTGCTACATGACCTTGGGCGAGTCTCTTCCTCTCTTGGGGCCTCTGTTTTTTCTCATTCTAGAAAATAGACTAGATAAACTCCAAGGTCTTCATCACCTGAGTTCCCCTGTACCCTGATGGGGATAAATAGCAGGAGATAGAAGAGGAAGAAAGGTCTTCCGAAGCCCCCTGGGTGCTACCTCACTGGCGATCCTGCTGCCCCCTTTTCTAGCTGATCCTGAAATTTTCCTTCTGACTCTACGCTACCAAAACTTCCTCATTCAAAAAGGAAAGTCCACATGCCATGCACACACTTCCGACTTGCTGATACACAATGTAAATCCATTATTTGTGCCATGCCACACCATTAGCATGCCCCCTCCTCTTGTGTGAGTCCCACCTGAGCTTTGCCAAAGTGCAGACGTGCAGGGAAGGGAATTTTTCAAGCACAAACACATAGGCACACGCATGCACACTCTTTCATACACGCAGACAAGCCACCTACGTTGAGGTCTTCTGCTATTTTCATTCTGAAATAGTCTTACTATTTCTACAATCAAAAGTCGCTTCCATTTGACCCTAAGTGTTAGTGGTTTCTTCGCTCACCCCCGCTTCCCAGACCCCATGTCTCCCTCTTGGATCTTCTGGGAGGCTGCTGTGTTTCTTTCCCATAGCCTGACCCCCATGAGCCACACTGCACGCCAGGCGTGTCCACGAGCAACGGGGAACCTGTCACAGAGAAAAGCTCTCCTTTTGTGCATTTCTACTTCATTTAATGGTTTGATGGTATTTGTATTATGATGACCCGTTTCCAAGCCACAGAAGGAAACCAGAGCTGAGTAGGCAGCGTGGGGAGAAAGTTGCTGAGTTCTGTAGAAAGCCAGGGTCAGGATCACAAAATTCCCTCCCTCCTGCTCTGCTGCGGCCACCGAGCCACTTTGCTGTGACCCTAATGGGGAACCGAGAACTGAGACTCACACCTCAGCTAGTGCATCTGGGGTCAGCTGAGGAGGCCAGGGAGGGGGTGGACATGAGACCTCCACTCCCCACCTTCTGTTCCACAAGCATCCTTACTCTCTCCTCCAGGTGATGAAGAGCCTCAGGAGAGCACGGATGCTCCCCCTGGCAGTGAAACGTCTTTTCCCTTAACAACGAGGATGGCAGGTACCACAGGTACGGCTGGAGTTTCTTGGAAGATAAAAGGTTGGCTATTAAACCATGATGCAGGATAAAGGGAGGAGTTGGCCTGGAGCTGCCTGTAGGTGGTAGAGATGATCACACACCTGCGTGCAACCTCCCGGTCCTCAAACACCGCCAGTGTCACAGGAGAAACAAGATGAGGGCGGCGCCTCGAGGCAGAAGAACGAAATGTTCAAATGTTGGCCCCAGGTTCCCCTGGTCTCTCCTAGCTCTCCAGTGGTTTCCGAGCCCCCAGCCCCAAGAAGCCTGGACTCTCCCAGCCCTGTGCAGCCCCACGATCAGCAGTGACTAGCACCCTTCTCTCTCTCTTGCACAGATTTCCAAACACCCACAGAAGTGGCTGCGACCATGGATACGTTCATATTTACAACCGAGTATCAGATCGCAGGTGGGTAGTGACAAACGTGCACCAGACAGAGACCAGGGGACGTTTGCTTGGTGGGTTGGTGAGTTGCTTTGTTAGTTACTATAAACTAGCTCTTTACACTATATAATGTTTATAAAAGTCAAAGACGAATCCAGATAGTAACATGACTCGGAATCACAGGCACCGGTTGTAGTGAGCTAGGAGTGAGGTTTCAAACCAGCCTCAACCAGTGCCTCCCGACCAGATCCTAGAGGGCAAAATACCCGGCACCTGCGTGTGAGGGGAGGCCAGGGTGCGGGGATGTGGTGGAACCAGCGGAAGAGAGAAGCATGCCACCAACACTCCAGGTGTTTCCTGGTGGGAGGCAAAAACGGGCTTTGAGAAAGAAACAAAACAAAGACCAAAACCGAGCTCTTAGAAACAGAGCAGAATGCTGGTGACCAGGGGCTGGGGGTGGGGTAAATGGGGAGGCGGGTGTCAGAGCGCACAGACTTCCAGTGAGAAGTGGAGCAAGTATGGAGATCGAACGTAGAGCATGGTGATCACAGCTAACAATGCTGTATTGTAGACTTGAAAGTTGCTAAGAGTAAATCTGAAATGTTCTTGGCCCAAAAAAGAAATGGTAATTACAATACATTTTGCAATGTATAAGTGTATCAAAGCAACACATTGCACACCTTAAACTTAGACAATGTTACATGTCAATTATTCTCATAAGGGGAGGGGGTGAGTGGAGCAAAACAGGCTTTGAGGCACGTCTAAGACACACAGACAGATGGACGTATGGATAACTTGACAGCTTCAGGACCACAGGAAAGAAGCATCTGGGAAACAACACTTTCAGGAGATGCTAAGTGTTTATCATGCATCTTTATATTTCAACATTTCTTTTACCCATCGCGGGCCTCACTCACGGCCTCTTTAACCGAGGCCGGGGACTCTGAACCTTTCTGAAGAGGGTGCCTGTCAGCTGCTCCCCACAGAAAGAGTGGAGCCCCCTGAGGAAAGGTTTGTGCCCTTCCAGTCCACACCCCCAGGCCCTGGTCCTGGAGCCTCCAGGGAAACTCTGCCGGGAGGGAGCCGCGTTCTGAAAAGGGGCGGCAAAAACCGCAGCGCTCGCCTCTCGCGAGCCCTTTGCTGGGGGTGGGGACGGATACAAGGGGACGGGCTCTCTCAGCCCCGGGGCCCCCTTCCCTGACCTGCCTCTCCGTCCACAGTGGCCGGCTGCATCCTACTGCTCATCAGCATCTTCCTCCTGACCGGCCTCACCTGGCAGCAGAAATGGTGAGTCCCGGGTGGGCAAGGAAGCCCTGCCCACGCTGGGGGGAGGGGGAGCGCCGCGCAGGAAAGCACCGGGGCAGGGACCCGTTCCCCCCCAGCCCACCCCCTTCCTCCCTGACTACCAGGGGTTTGGGGAGCAGCAGAGGGAGAACTGGCCAGTGCACGCCTTCCCAGAGTCGACCCACAGAATTACAGCCGCAGGGAAATGGGAAAGCCAAGGAAGCGAACATCCACTGAGTGCCTACTGTATGCCAGGGTCCATGCTTATCTTGCGAACATTATGGCAACCTGAAACCTTTGCTACAAGCTCTGGCAGGTTAAGCAACGTGGACAAGGTTGCACAGCAGAGGCCCAAACTGCAACCTCTGTCTAGTGCCCAGGACCTCTTTGCCCCTGTCACCTGGCAGCGGAGAACCAAGGGCAGCGTCAGCCCTGGTCCTCTCCTGCGCTCCTCACCCCCCAATGCAGCCGCTCACACCAGAGCCCCCTAGGCCGGGAACCTGACCCACGCGACCCCACGTGTGGACTTACTTGCATTAACTCTCCCGGCTGCAGAGGAGAACGACCCGGTGAGATTTTAAAAATACCAATGCTTGGGTGGGCCCTAGACATCAGTACTTTAATTTTTAATTGAGATAAAATTCTTCATTTTAACCATTTTAAAGTGTGTAATTCAGTGGTTTTCAGCACTGTTGCGTATACACCACCAGTATCTAATTCCAGAACATTCCATCACCCCAAAAAGAAACCCCACATTTCCCAATTCTCCATCCCCCCCCCCTCATTCCCTGGCCACCACTGATCTACGTTCCATCTCTATGGATTTGCCTGTTCTGGACATTTCATGTGAATGGGACCACAATGTATGTACTGTGTGCCCTGTTGTTACTGGGATGTTAGTACTTTTTAAAAGCTCCTCAGTCGCATCTAATACATACACATCCAGTTTAGATAACTCCGAGCTGGACCCGTGGTTCTGAAACATGAGTGCATCAGAATCTCCCAGGGGGGCTTGTTTTTTTAAATTGAAGTACAGTTGATTTACAGTGTTTCAGGTTTACAGCAAAGTGATTCAGATATATATAAATACACATATATATATACTTTTTCAGATTCTTTTCCATTATAGGTTATCACAAGATACCAAATATAATTCTCTGTGCTACACAGTAGGTTTTCATTGTTTATCTATTCTATATATAGTATCTGTTAATCCCAAATTCCTAATTCCCTGTGGGCTTCTTAAAGCAGAGCCTGCCAAGCCTACCCCCAAAGTCCCTGATTCAGCAGGTCTGGGGTAGGGCCTGAAAATTTACGTCTAACAAATGCCCAGGTGATGCCAATGCTGCTGGTCCAGGGACTAAACTTTGAGACCCACTGCACTAACAGTGTTAAGAATCAAGAGCGTGAAATCATTTCTCTCTCTCTCTCTCTCTCTCACACACACACACACACACACACACACACACACACACACACACACAGTGTCAGTCTCTCCCTCCCTTTAGACAGAGGACTATGGAGACCTAGCTTGTCACTCTCCCCACCTCCCAGGGCATCCCCTACCCCCTCCTCACCGGGTGCACTCTGCCAACCCTGATATAAACCCCCCAGAAGACCCTGAGAAGACAGAGAGTCACCCCCCACCCCCCGCCAAGAACCAAAGCCCTCCGACCCCCCAGCCTGCCTAGCCAGAGAGAAATCATCAGATTCCTTCCATTCTTATCTTGATCGTCAGGCCCACGATAAACTCCTGGTTTTCCTTCTGTCAATTAAAAAGCACAAATGATTGCAACGCAAAGGAGAAGCCCTCTAGGGTTGCCGTGTTAGGAATTATTCGCATACCCGGCAACCTACCAATCCCTCTACGTGTTAGCCAATTCCTGAGGCGTTTTTATAGGATTCTGTGAGATGATGCAGGTAAATTGCCCAAGACGCTATTTTTACTGCACAGACAGATCCTCTCCTTCCCTCACTGACAGGACCTAATACCTATCAAGGATCTTTGTATTTGGTAGCTTAAAGACCCAAACCTTCGGACACAAAGGGATGAAGCTATTTGGGAGTGGGAAAGGTTTGGACTTGATGTTGTGAAACCAAGAACTGCCTGAAACTATATGAGTTTCCAAGATCTCCCAGAACTGCAATCTTCCAGGAGACCTAAACAGACACCTCAAACTGACCCAGAGAGCTGGTCCAAAAGCCTTCCTAGAATTGAATTTCATCTGATGGTGCCCTCTTGTGGCCAAACAGAAATACTACATTTGATTTTTTTAATTTTTTAAAGCAATTACTGGGAGCTGACTTACCCCAGCTCCTGAGAGCCAAAAGCTAGATGTTCTGGAATTTTGAGAACTGCTTTTAAGCATAGCCATTATTAAAAATTAAATTATATAAACTTACAGTTAAATAAATTATATTAAAAACAAAGTCAGGGACTTCCCTGGTGGCACAGTGGCTAAGAATCCACCTGTCAATGCAGGGGACACGGGTTTGATCCCTGGCCCGAGAAGATCCCACATGCCTCGAGGCAACTAAGCCTGTGCGCCACAACTACTGAGCCTGCGCTCTACAGCCCGCGAGCCACACCTACTGAAGCCCGCATGCCACAACTACTGAAGCCCACGAGCCACAGCTACTGAACCCGCGAGCCTAGAGCCTGTGCTCCACAACAAGAGAAGCCACCGCAACGAGAAGCCCGCGCAGAGCAACGAAGACCCAATGCAGCCAAAAATGAATAAATAAATAAATTTATTAAAAGAGAAAACAAAGTTAATAAGTACTCAAAATTAATGACTTTCTAATTGTTTTACTGCATTTTACTACTTTATTCTCAGGGTTATTTGCATCTGTGTATCTGTATCGAGGAAATACTATCTATATGATGGTTTTATACTGCACGTCTCTCCCCAACTCTGTATTCAAGGTAGCTTGAAACTGGGAGTGGTGGGAGTTTTTACACCATGGAAACAGGCAGCCTTTTTCAGACAGCTGGTTGTTAAACATTTGCCAACACACCAGTTCTTGGAGCCTTGCCCCATGGGAGCTCTGAGCAAATTAGGAAGTAACCAGATGTTCCCATGGGCTGAGGAAGGGCTGGGGAAGTCTAGGATTGTACTGTCTGATAGGGTTGCCACTAGCCACGTGTGGATATTTAAGTTTAAACTTAAATAAATTAAATGCAATTAAAAATTCGGTCTACGTGTTGCACCAGCCACATTTCAGGTGTCTGATAGCCACACGTGGCCACATTATTGGACAACATAGATACAAAACATTCCCATCACCACAGAAAGTTCTTATGGTACAGCGCCAGCTAGAAAACTAGGAGTTTTCAATTCATGAAAACCCCTTAGCACAGCTAGTTGGTTTTATTATTCCTTTTAGGCAGCTGTTGTCTTCCGTATACTTCCAAAAAATTTTGATACGATATCTCCTACGTAGATGCTGGTCAAAGGGTACAAACTTGCAGTTAGAAGATGAATAAGTTCTGGGGAATCTAATGCACAGCAGAGGTGATTATAATCAACAACATTGTATTATATACTTAAAAGTTGCTAAGAGACTAGATCTTAAATGTTCTCACCACCAAGAAGAAATGACAGTTATGTGATATGATGGAAGTGTTAGCTTTAACACCACGGTGTTCATTACACCTCAATATATAAATGTATCAAATCAATCCACGGTACACCTTAAACTTCCACGATGTTCTACGTCAATTATATCTCAATTTTAAAATGACTATGAGAATATCTCCTATGTACCAGGCACTTGCCAGGGGCCTAAGGATGAATACGAATGGCCCCTGCTCTCAGGAGCTTACAGATCAGTGGAGGAGAAGGGGAAAAAAATTGAGACTTTAAATGTAATTTGTTAAAGCCTAAGGTTGAGGTGTTACAGGAACGAAGAGAAAAGAACCTAATCCTGTATGGGGACACCCAGAAGGCCTTCAGAGCTGATACCAGTGGCCAGATAAAGAATGGCAGGAGAAGCTGCAAGTCAGAGGGGCAGGAGGAGAAGTAAGGCAGCCTGAAGGGCACGAGGATGTCTGGGAGGATCTAGCAGTTCTGAACACTGGGGTGTAAAGTGCACGGGACAGTGGTGACAGTGGTGCTGTGGGAATGGCCAGGGACCAAGGCCTGGAAGATCAGGCCAGACTGAGGAGCTCGGGCCCGATCCTGAGGACGACAGCGAGCCACAGAAGCTCAATTATGCGATAAATGGTAGCACTGGCCCTCTGAACAGTCTGGCCGCAATAGAGGCTGGAGTTACGGTGGGTAATGGTGGTGGCAGTTTGATTATATTACGATGGAATAAATCCACACAGGGGATGAGGAGAGCATGAACTAGGTCAGTGGACATAAGTTAAAAAGGAGGAAAAGGACTTCCCTGGTGGCGCAGTGGTTAAGAATCCTGCCAATGCAGGGGACATGGGTTCGAGCCCTGGTCTGGTCTGGGAAGATCCCACATGCCGTGGAGCAACTAAGCCCATGTGCCACAACTACTGAGCCTGCACTCTACAGCCTGCGAGCCACAACTACTGAAGCCCACGTGCCTAGAGCCCGTGCTCCACAGCAAGAGAAGCCACTGCAATGAGAAGCCCGCGCACCACAATGAAGAGTAGCCCCCGCTCACCGCAACTAGAGAAAGCCCACGCACAGCAACGAAGACCCAACACAGCCAAAAATAAATTAATTAAAAATAAATTTTAAAAAAAAAGGAGAAAAAAATCGAGAAATACGTGAGTCAAGTTAGCAGGATTTGGTGGCTGATCAAAAGTGAGGGTTAAGGAAGAGGGTTGACTTGGGGATGACGCCAGATGTTAGAGTGTTACGGGGGACTGTTGTCACTACACACTAGGATGACGTGTAACGTGAGGGTCATGTACCCCGTGGGGAGTAGCCCTGGAGCAGACCCCCTCCTGTAGCCCCTTCCCTAAGACCCACCCAGCCTCCACACCTGTAATGATCTGAGTCCCAGGCTCTTTCTCAGCGCCACTCACCGCACAATGATTGGATCATCACGCTGTGAGGACCACAGGGCTGCCAGTCTTGATCTCTAGAGGGGTGGTCAGCATGTGGGAAGGTCACAGTATCCCGGGGTGGGATTTAAAGTTAGCGGGTCAATGGGGGCTTCTGTTGAATGCTCCACCCACATCAGTTTAGGGTGCAGACCACATTCTTCTTGGTGCGGCATTACACCCATGACTATGACTTGTTATATCACTACAGGAAGAAGAAAAGAAGGACAATCTAGAAAACCAAGGGCAGTAAGAAGCCAAGAAGAACCCGCAGATGTCATGGACCACAATCAAAATCAAGGCAGCTGAACACTCATCCAAGAGGCATCTCCTGATCCCATGGGTTCTGGAAAGCTCTGAAGTCACATCACAGGACACCAGGCACCTGCAACCCCATCGTGAAGCCAGCTCTGTAGTATCAACGAGCGAGCTTGACCTGCTCGTAGGCAGCAAGTCCAAGGTCACTGGAGGAACAGGGAGGAAAAATCAGAACTCTTGGTCCCATTTTCATGTGTATGTGTTCATTAAAGCATGACCGGCATGGAACTCTCTCCATGCCATGTATAATACAAAGAAGAGTAGCCTCATGCTAAGTTCATCCCAACTTCCCAGTTTAGAAATCCCAAGGAAAACCCTAGCACTAATGTAAATAGACACACACGCTCTCTACCCTATGTAACTGGACCTTGTTCCTTGGTCCACATAGGTCCTTTCCCAGCCTCTGGTTGACTACCCCATTCTCCTGATCACATCCTTTAATGAATGCCCCCTAAGAACTCTGGACTGGTAACTAGGAATGCTTTGGACCTTAGCTCAGTGCTCTAAACTAGCCCCCCTCCACTGAACCTTCAATTCTGAGTTTCTAAAGAACAGAGTCCATGGGGGAATAGTCTTTGGGTAATACCAAAAGAGGACAACCAAGCCCTTGGAACTGTAGAGCTTCAATATTTGAAAAGATTTCACTGGAGTTAATGTCGGGAGAAGGGGGATAAGCTAGATCCTAGGTAATGGATTATTCCGGTCAAAAAGCTTCAGCTGTACATGACTAATGGGCCACTTCAAGAGTTAGTTTCTCTTGGATTGCTATAAATGATACTCTGTGTTTGGCCAGCACAAATTTGATGTTTACAGACAGACACACAATGTGCAAATGTGTACATTTTCAAACAAGTGTCATAAAAACACTGATAAGGGAGCAATACATTCAATGTTTATGGAAGGAAAGAAAGAAGGAAGTCGGGGTGGGGTGGGGTGGGAGAGCATGTAATTATGGACAAGGTCACACCAGTGATCCTCAAACTGTTAGCACAACGTTGAGCAAATCAAAATCACCTGGAGGCCTTGTTAAAACATAGAAGGGGGGACTTCTCTGTGCGCAGTGGTTAAGAATCCGCCTGCCAATGTAGGAGACATGGGTTTGATCCCTGGTCCGGGATGATCCCACATGCCGTGGAGCAACTAAGCCCGTGCACCACAACTACCGAGCCTGCGCTCTAGAGCCCTCAAGTCACAACTACGGAGGCAGCATGCCACAACTACTGAAGCCCGCGCACCTAGAGCCCATGCTCCACAACAAGAGAAGCCACCACAATGAGAAGCCCACGCACCACAAGGAAGAGTAGCCCCGCTCTCTGAAACTAGAAAAAGCCCACGTGCAGCAACGAAGACCCAACGCAGCCAAAAATAAAAAACAAAACAGAAAACACAGAAGGTTGGGCCCACCTCCAGAGTTTCTGAGTTAGCAGGTCTGGGGTGGGGCCTGAGACTTTACATTTCTAACAGGTTACAAGTGATGCTGATGATGCTGGTCCAGGGCCACACTTTGAGAACCACGGGGTTTATGCCTCCCACCCTCAACTCTCACTGGAAAAGTCAGCCTCAGGGGCTGAGATTTCAGTGCAGATTCAGACTTTTGCCAAAAATCTCAATTCTCAATCAGTTGACTTAGATGTCCAGGTTAAACAAAATCACATAATGAAGATTAATGAAAAATTTAAATCAGCAGCCAGTTTTCATTTCTGAAAGGGCAGGAAAATGTTATGAAAAAAATGGGCAGGAGTCAGCAGGTCCATATCTAGATTAAAGAACCATTTTCTGTCCTTTCTGTGACCAACCAAGTACCATCGGGTTCCATCATCAACATCCCCCAAGTATATGTTTTCTGGGGAAACTAATGTTAAGACGAATATAAGACCAGAAAAAAAATTTTTTTAATCTTATTTATCTTACTTGAATAAAACTGGATTATCATTACTCATTTTGGGGGAGGGAGGTCCATGAGATCAAATTTTTTTTCATAATACAGTTGACCCTTGAACAACACAGGTTTGAACTGCATGAGTCCACTTACATGTGGATTTTTTTTTTTTTTTGTGGTACGTGGGCCTCTCACTTTTGCGGCCTCTCCCGTTGCGGAGCACAGGCTCCGGACGCGCAGGCTCAGCGGCCATGGCTCACGGGCCCAGCCACTCCGCGGCATGTGGGATCTTCCCGGACCGGGGCACGAACCCGTGTCCCCTGCATCGGCAGGTGGACTCTCAACCACTGTGCCACCAGGGAAGCCCTATGTGGATTTTTTTTAAAAGTAAATTCTACAGTGCTACACAATCCCTGGTTGGTTGAACCCGCAGATGCAGAATCAGGGATACAGAGGAACCACAGATACATAGGAACCATGGATACGGAAGACCAACTATAACTTACACGTGGATTTTTTACTGCACAGAGGGTCATTGCTCCCAACTCCAGTGTTGTTCAAGGGTCAGCTGTGATTAAGATGTTATTTACCTTTTTCACTCTCATTCTCTTACAAATGTATGGTGGAGTTTTCCAGAAGCTACATGATATGTGATGATGTCATCGCTCTGGTGTTAACACATAATGAGTTTACTACTGCTGTTCATAGAAGAATTAATAACTAATATTTTTTAAATTTCCTGGTTTTAGTGTCTAAGTATGATAAGTATCACTAGATGTAACTACATAACAAAAAGTTTTGAGGAGCCTCAATACTTTTTAATAATATGAAGAGGTCCAGACAGATGGCTAACAAGCACATCATCATTGGTCATTTCAGAAATGCAAATCAGATATATATGTATATATATATGTATGTATAATGGAATATTACTCAGCCATAGAAAAGAATAAAATAATGCTCTTTGCAGCAACATGGATGAACCTAGAGATTATAATACTGAGTGAAGTAAGCCAGACAGAGAAAGACAAATAGCATATGATATCTCTTATATGTGGGATCTAAAAAAAAATATGATACAAATGAATTTATTTACAAAACAGAAACAGACTCACAGACATAGAAAACAAACTGATGGTTACCAAAACGGGGTGGGGGGAGGAATAAATTAGGAGCTTGGGATTAAAATATACACACTACTATATATAAAATAGATAACCAACAAGGACCTACTGTATAGAACAGGAAACTATAGTCAATAACTTGTAATAACCTATAATGCAAGAGAATGTAAAAAAAGAATATATATATATATAACTGAATCACTTTGCTGTACACCTGAAACTCACACAACACTGTAAATCAACTATATTTCAATAAAAATTTTTAAAAAAAGAAATGCAAATCAAAACCATGGTGAGACACCACTTCATAACTGTTAAGATGACTTTAAGGGAAAAAAAAAGAGGAGATAACAAATGTTGACAAGGATGTGGAGAAACAGGAACCCTCATACGTTGCTGGAGGAAATGTAAAATGGTGCAGCCATTGTGGTGGTTGTTCCTCAAAAAGTTAAAGAATTACCAGATGGCCCTGCACTTCCACTCTTGGGCATGTTCCATAGGAAGGAAGAAAACCCGTGTCCGCACAGAAGCTTGTATCTGACTGCTTATCACAGCCAAACAGTGAAGAGATGGAAACAACCCAAAAGGCCTACCAACAGAGGAATGGATAAGCAAACCATGGTCTCTCCACACACTGCAATATGACTCTGCCACAGAAAGGAATCAAGTCCTGATAAAGGCTACAGCATAGATGAGCCTAAAGAACATTATACCAAGTGAAAGAAGCCAGACACAAAAGGTCACATGTTGTATGATTCCTTTTGTGTGAAATGTCCAGAATAGGCAGCTCCAAAGAGACAGAAAGCAAATGAGCAGTTTCCAGGCCTGGGGTAAGAAGAAAAGCCTGAACACACTGAACACCAGTGACTCTTCTCAGATCGTCAGTCACAGGGCAAAGCTCTGCCCCCAAAGTGAAGTGACAGACAGGTGGATGCAAAGAATCAACGGCCTCCTGGAGCAGACACTGGGGCAGGGAAACCGAAACCCATGACTGCTGGAGCCTCGGTGTGCACAAGTCTGGGAGGTATAAACTCCAGGGGTCCAGTCATAGGAGGCCCTACGTCTCCATGAGTTTTACCTCCCGGGGGTGAACCAGGTCCTCATGGTGACGGTCAGAGAAACCCCCCTCATGCTTGCAGCAGGGGGAGGGGGCAAAGGAACCAATTTTGAAATATACCAGACACTCTGCTCTCCTTAAGGAGGGCTGTCCCTGGGAGAAACTACTTCCCTAACTATCTTGGGTTTTACCTAAGCCTAACACACCAGAGGGAAGGGAAATGCCCAGTTCTGACCTGCTCTACCTTGCACACAGGAGAAGGGAAATATCAACTCCAGATTCCTGGATTCCTATCCAGGCTTTCTATCCCACCTGAGGGGTTGGGGGAGAAGCACAGCCCCAGGCTCACTAAGGAGACTTAACCCCTAATTGTAAGACAATTGTAAGATAATTGTAAAACAATTCCTCCCCCACACCTCACCATCACATCAGTATGGCTCCTGTATGATAACGGGGAAACACAGCCCAAAGACCCACACATCTTAGCCATTATTGAAGAAAAAGTCTCTAGGGAAACGCAGAGAAAACCCAGGGAAAGCCAGGGAGATAAAAACAATGACACCATAGGCAATTTCAGCCTCCACAGGTATAGTAAACGCTAAACACAGCCTAATTCCTAGGCAAACACAAAGCCTCACACCATAAGGCCTACTTACCTCAGTTCCTTTTACCTAGTCCATCACGTCCAGCTTTCAATAAAAAATTACAAGGCATGCTAGGGAGTTCCCTGGTGGTCCAGTGGTTAGGACTCGGCGATTTCATTGCCAAGGGCCTGGGCTCAATCCCTGGTCAGGGAACTAAGATACTGCAAGCCGCGCAGCCCAGCAAAAAAAAGAAAGAAAGAAAGAAATTACAAGGCATGCTAAAAGGCATAAAATGCAGCCTGAAGAGACAGAGCCAGCATCAGAACCAAATTCAGATATGGCAGAGATGTCAGACTGGGAATTTAAAACAACTATGGAAAATAAATTATTCTGACAGAGATTGCTATGACCCCTAAATCCAGTCTTTCCTTGGTAATGAAAGCCCAGGTTTTAGTGGAACACAGCCCTCCCCCAGCTGAGGATTACGTTTGCCAGCCTCCCCGGCAGCTAAATGGGCCACGTGACTAAGTTCTGACTCGTGAGACATGAGTGAGGTAAAGTGAGCAGTTTCTAAGGTGTCCTTGAAGAGAACAGGTGTGCCTTGCCCTTCCTCCCCTCTTCCACTGGCTGGCAGGTGGTCTTCGTAGTGGGAGCTAGAACAAGCAGCGGAATTAAAAACTACACATTAAGTTTAACAGGGAAATAAAACCAAAGGAGCCTGGATGTCTGACATGGAGGGGCCCCGCCAGAGCTGTTTACTCTTGCACTGGACATGAGTCAGAAATACCCTCCCCTAGGGATAGATTGGGAGTTTGGGATTGACATGTACACACACTACTATATTAAAATAGATAACCAATAAGGACCTGCTGTACAGCACAGGGAACTCTGCTCAATATTCTGTAACAACCCAAATAGGAAAAGAATTTGAAAAAGAATAGATATATGTGTATGTATAACTGAATCACTTTGCTGTACACCTGAAACTAACACAACACTGTTAATCAACTATACTCCAATATAAAATAAAAAGTTTTTTAAAAAAATAAAATGCAGATGTGATATTTATAACAGTTATAACTACCAAAAAAAAAAAAAAGAAAGAAATACCCTTCCCTTTAGGCCACTGTGACCTTTGCCCTCATTAGAGCAGCTGTATCAACATCCCATAACAATCATCCACCCTACATGCACCTCCCCCAAATTTGGCTTAGACAGTCATAACGGTATCAAAATATTTTCAGTGGAAAACGGGACAAGAATTAGCATAGGAC